AAAATAAAAAAAATAAAAATAAAAATCACATTGTTCTGAGACTATCAGTTATAAATTAAAGAATGAGAATGGGAAAGGATGCAACGGAGAAAGTCTTATTCTAGTTTACTAATTATATGGCTTCTATCTCTCTGCTAAGAAAGTATTTCTGATTTCTGAACATATAATGCCCTAAATCTTGCTCTTTGGAACTTAAACAAGATGAATTTCCTATCTTTCAGTCAAAAAAAATGCATAACATTTTATGAACAGGGCCTCAGTAAATGGTAAAATTAACAAATCAATATTTAGTCTCAGACAAGACGTGCTTTTCAGCTCTATCTTAATATACTAGAAATGTTGACTTTGCTCTGTGAATCTGTTAAGGTGTCAGTTTTATGTTGGTGACTTCAGAAAGCTAGATGGAACCACACAAATTTCATAATACACAAATACATAATAACTGTTTATATTATGAACACTAATTATATTTGCAGTCTTAACATCATACTAGTTGTAAATAAAGAACAAATTGTAAGAACATTTAAAGACTATGTGCTGATTTTTTTCCCTTATGGAAGATAATCTCTTGCTATAACTTTAGAATAACAAGTTTGCCTTCTAGGTAATAAGACAGGATAGCTGGCAAGCATCAGGCTTATGCTTGCAATTATAAGCCATAAAGGTGGACTGTGACCTCATCCCCCATTTCAAAAGAGAAGATGCCAAAGTTCAGCGCGTCTGAGACCGGGAGGCAGGCTGGGGTGGTGCTCAAGTTCACACGTGGGCTCCGGAGTGAGGCAGGACGCATTCTCAGTCCCGTGAACATGAGCTCCCCTGAGCACGTCTCCTCATCTATCTGGACAAATAACCAGAGGACACTTCAAAGAAATGCTGGTAGAATCAAGAGTAAAGCGGTTGGTACAAAGTTAACAACTTGATACTACTTTCAAGTTCTCTTGCCTTCCTCTATTTTTTTCTTTATTCCATAGCATTTCTCATCTTTTTTATATAAATTAAATTTTACAAAAAATACAACAAATAGAGTCAACACACCCATCCGAATTTATGTATCATCGCTGTGTCTGTTGTGAGCGGCTGAATCTGCCCACTGTGCTGCTGATCTAGCATCAAGGTGTCTCTTTTTGACAATGTCAGTGGCTCTTGACCCTTTATTGCCGTTATGTGGTCACTTTGTGTCCTTGTGGTATTGAACAAAGGGTAGGACGCTGCAGTATGACCCCCAGGAGAATATAGTCAATTTCTTAAAGGGATCCATGCAGGTTTGTGAATGAAACCCGTCCAAAATTCTTTTTAACCTGATATTAAGGGAGGATGTTTTAAAATACAACATTCAGGGATATATCTCTTCATTCTCACTCAGAATGCTATCCTTTACCTCAATGAAAACCACATAAAAATAAACAACAAACACACCCAAAAGGTCTACATTAAAAAAACAGATTATGATTTGTCTAAAAACTGATATATACATCAGTTTTTAATGAGATTTGCTCCATTAATATAATTATTACCTATTAATATTACAGTGAAAATAAGAACATGCTATTTATAAACATTGATTTTATATATATTTAAACATTTGAATATCAAAAATAAAAGTATACATACAAAAGCAAATGCACAGGTGTAGAATATGTCTATGACTCTAAAATTATAAATAATCCAGAAATAATCTTAATGCTATTCTTTGTACTTTCAAGAAAATACAACTATTATTGTTAAAACAGATTTTAAATATACAGAGTATTGCAAAACCTGAAAGAATTCCTTTGGTGGGGGCAGGGAGTATATTCCCCAGGCATACTTTGTAATATTTTTTTAAAAATGAGAAATAGTTGGAGGCTAATTAGCCTCCAACTAATAAAAATAAATGAAAAAAAAAGAGAAAAAAAATAAAAATGAGAAATAGGTTTTAATATTTTTTCTACATAAAATAATATTAATCTAATATTGTTCACATTAGATATTATTAATCTAATATGGCTTTGATATGTAATTTAAGACATTTGGTTAAAGCAAAGAGTCTGATAAACCTTAGGCTGGAATGCTAAGTAAAACTGAGGGTATGTGTTGACCAAGGCACTACTGGCATTACTTTGTAGAGCCAATCAATAGATATTAGCTTTAAAAAGAGAGATTTAGAAAGAAGCTGCAGCATATTTTTGAAATGACAGGGTGAAGGTTTAAATTGTCTCAATCAAGGCTCAATTTTTTTTCCCGTTTTTCCAGCCGTTCTCTTCCAGTTAAGACTCTTCATTTCAAATAAATTTAATTAGTTCCAATTGATCATAGCCAACACTTACACAGCTTTATCCATGCTTCTTTACTTTTATACAGCAAACACTAACAAAGATTGCCAAGCTCAGATCAAGGGTCACAAGACAATATTCATACCTCATTCGCTCTCACCCAGAAGAAAAATTTCAGCTATGAAATTCTGCCTATAGCAAAAGCACTAAATTATGCTACATATTTGAATTGTTATCTTTGTCAGCTGTTGAATTCAGTTAATTGGAGAATTCAGCCCCAGATTACCACAAAAATAAAATTAATACAGCTATGCATATTAGCCTAGCTACGGCAAATAAGAATTCATTCAAAATATAGGCAAATATATCTGTCATGATATAATTTCTATTTTATGAGGTGACATTACAAGAGCAATTCCTTTTAAATAATCAGGGGGGAAAAATAATCTGGGGAAAAATCAGGTTTTTCAGGGTGAACAGCTGAATTGGTCAGTTTTCCCTTTTGCAGTACCTCTTGCACTCTACAATGCTGGTTATCCTAAAATAAGATTATTCTGCTTGAAACAGGTTTCTCTCAAATGCACCTACCATATTTTTCATAATGCAATTTATATAGGATTCTAGTCAATAAAAAGAAATATGGTTTTCTTCTGAACCCTCACAAAAATCTATACCACATCTTAATCAAGTCACACAATCTAAAGGCAACTTGAACGATCCACAGGCTGCAGCGTGATGGTTGCTCTGACAACATGTTAAGGAAGCCTTTTTCAGTTATTTAAATTCTTTGGATCCTGAGCATTCTCGCCTCTAGTACTCATGGCAGGAAATGAGTAAATCACCTCATAAAGCCATGCATCACATGCATTTAATTGAACTTCTTACAGATTAAAATATAGTTTATGTAGCATTGATTGACTCTCCAAACTAGATTTTCATTTTTAAACTTCCTGATTTTTTTAACAGTAAAATAAACACAGAGTCACATGCCCTCATTCTGACTCGTGACTTTGGCAGAGCATAATTCATAATTTCAATGTACTGATTTAATAATACTTACTTGAGTGCTCAAAAATTCAGCTTTTCTTCCGGAATGGAAAGTGAGATATTCTACTATGGCAAAGGCAACTTCAGTTATTTAAACCATGACTTTTTGCAGACAAGAACACCTTTAAAATTTGAGGTCATAACAAACATATCTATAACATCATTTTTTTTAAAGCAGGGGAAACGGATTGCAGCAAGAACTCATTTTTTAAAATCTACAAACTGCCCAGATGGGAGGGGAGTTTAGGGGAGAACGGATACATATACAGGAAAGGCTGAGTACCTTCGCTGTTCACCTGAGGCTATCACAATATTGTTAATCAGCTACACTTCAACACAAAATACAAAGTTCAAAACAAAGAAATAAATAAAAAATTTGCAAATGAAATGATGTCTTCTAGTAGCTACTGAAACAAACCCTGTAACTTACAGTATAAATGATTTTTAGCAAATTAGTAAGTTTGAAAAATAATTTACACGTATATTTAAGATGGACGATAAATTTTTTAAATCAATGAACCAATACATTAAAAAGCAAGAGCCACCACCACCATCATCACATTTTTTGCTAAAAACCAGATATTCCTTGAAAGTCAACTACAGCAGTGGCACAGTCCATAAGTTTTTAAATACAGGCTCTGAACATTTTCTAGAGAGAACAGTAGGCTCCCTCAACTTCTTCCCAGTGAAAGAAATTTAAAAGCATTCAGGTGACAACAGTAAAGAACCTGCCACACACAGCTTTAAGAGGAAAAAGTGAGGAGGGGAAAAAAACCGACTTCCCTTTAGTTTTTCTTACCCCGCTTCCTTTAATGACTGTTGAAAATTTTACTGACACTTTGCAAGCATGCTCCTTTTCAAATTACTGATTAAGCTAGTATTTCTCGCTTCACAATAGTTATAGATTTGGTGAGATTTTATTTTTTAACCATCCACACCAAAAACAAGAGCGTATCATTCTCAATACCAATACAAACAGTATACTAGGTTGTTTTTATCCTTTGTGCACTGAAAGAAATTGAGCTGAATGCATTTGCATATTCAGTAATCGACACTGCTCTAAGTCTATAAAAAGATAGGTTGAACATAATGCAGTGTGTGGCTTTCCTAAATTTTACCACGTCTGATTATGTGATAAATAATACAGAGAAGAATGCTCAATACCCAAACAATGTACGTAACTTTTAAAAAAGCATTCATTTCTATCGTACAGGTAGAAAGAGTATCTGTAAGTTTCCTCAGGTAGCCTATGTTGCATGTATCAGATTACAACTTCAATATTTTCAGTCTACCCTAGGGCGTGCTGGAGTCCATGGGGTCTCAAAGAGTCGGACGCGAGTTGGTGACTGAACAACAACACTACTGTAACTGCAAACCTGTCACGACACAAGCGGCGTACTCCTCTACATGTTCCACGACTTCAGTAATGATCCTAGCCTCTAAAGTAGAAGGTCCCCGGAAAATCAAACACACAGCTGGTGGGTTCATTCTTGTGGCAATAATGAGCAAACCTGGGCCAAATAAACAGTTCTGCTTCTTTCCACCTCAAGATCAGAAAGGGCACTAAAGGGTCTCAGAAAACTAAGCATTCCATCAATGCAAGTTTCCACCATGCACCGAGTCCTGCTATGAGTGACCTGGAAGCACTCTCCGACACCGGGCAAAGTCTGCCCCGACGACACTAAAGCTGTCCCCGCTTACCAGTCGTGATGTCGTCATCCACAAGGTCATGCTCCTCGTCCTGGGCTCTGGCTTCTGGGCCGGAGGCGTCAGCAGCGGTGGCGACAGTCTGCAGGGCTTCTGCCGAGACTCCCGCTACAACACAGGAGAAGAACGAGAGCTCGTCTGTGAAAACTAACAGAGAAGTGCACCAAAACTCTTAAAGCGGCTTAATTTACTTACTGGATGAACATGCAGTATGTTAAAAAAAAAATACAATATATTCACCCAAATTAGGAAGAGGCAGAAAGTAATGAACCAAATATTCATGTGTGCTCTTTACAGCTTTATATGTACATACATACATGGATGCAAACCATATTACTTTTAACCAAGATCTGGGAACAAAAAACTGAAGTTGTATAGTTTCACTTGCTTCCTTTCAACATGTTTACTAGTTATTTTAGTAGATTTAGACACAGTTATGCCTGGGCTTCCCTGGTGGCTCAGAGGGTAAAGCGTCTACCCGCAATGGAAGAGACCTGGGTTCAATCCCTGGGTTAGGAAGATTCCCTGGAGAAGGACACGGCAACCCACTCCAGTATTCTTGCCTGGAGAATCCCATGGCCGGAGCAGCCTGGTGGGCTATATCTATAGTCCATGGGCTCACAGAGAGTCAGACACAACTGAGCGACTTCACTCATGCCTTAAAAAAAATGAGAAAACCTAGAAAGTGAAAGACTATTTTAAGTTTGCTTCTCTTTAATATTAGTTTGCTTGTAACTTGAGGGATGGGAAGAGTGATGATGACAAAAGAAGGATTTGGGTTCTGGGTCTTTGAAAGAGACCTTAAATGCATTGCCCCAAGGGTATAACAGACAGCACTAATGGTAAAGAACCTGCCTGTCCATGCAGGATGCAGGATACAAAAGATATGCAGGTTCAATCCCTGTATTGGGCAGATCCCCTAGAGGAGGAAATGGCAACCCACTCCAGTACTCTTGCCTGGAGAATTCCACAGACAGGGGCGTCCAGCAGGCTACAGTCTCTGTGGTCGCACAGAGCTGGACACGACTGAAGCGACTGAGCACCCATGGAAGAGTTAGATACACGGCCCGACAATCACTCAGCTGAAAGAAGCTAGCTGAGAGCGGAGAACCAGATGAGGGCACCAAACTTCCCTTCTCCAAAACACCTGAGAACTGGGAAGAACTGCCTACAGATGTCTTCTCCTTACTCACCTATTTTCCCATTCGAGATAAAACACAGGTGTCCCCCACTAGCTGGAAGCAGTGCATCGCCATGACAACCAAAGAGGACACATGTTCACAGAATCACATGGTACTGAGCACAGTCACTGTGAAGTGCTCCATGTATCCGTGGCTCCTCCTTATCTGTGCATATTCAACCAGCAGTGTGGGTTGGCTCATGTAATACTGTAGTACTCACTAGTGAAAAATAACCACATACAAGTGGATCCGCCCAGTTCAAACCAAGCTTGTTCAAGGGTCAACATATAAATGAAAATAAAACTACAGATCAGTAACTCTCATGAATCTAGACTCAAAAATCCTTAACAAAATGTAATCAAGTAGAATTCAACGACATATAAAAAGTTATATACCATGAGCAAGTGAGATTTATTCAGTTGGTAAGCAAGTCTGGTTCCATATTCAAAAACTCAATGCTATCCAAAATTTTAAGATGAAAGAAGAAACAATCATATGATCATGTCAATAATTAGATAAAATTTGACATCATGATTTTAAAAACTCTCAGAAAAACAGAAATAGAGGAAGAGAGGGCAACTCGTTCAACTTAATAAAGAGCACGTATTAAAAATCTAACATTATATTTAATGGTGAAAGACTGAATGCTTTCCTCCTATGATCAAGAATGAAGCAAAGATGTCCACATTGTTGCTCTTATTTGACACAGCATTAGAAATTCTAGACAGTGCAACACAGTAAGAAAATAAAACATGTATAGTTTGGAATGAAGTGATCCCATTCAAGATGAAAACAACTGTCTGTGTGGAAATTTAAAGGAGTCCACAAAACAAACAAACTGTGTACAGCAAGGCTGCAGAATACCAGCAAAAGGGCTTCCCTGGGGGCTCGGTAGTAAAGAGTCCACTTGCCAACGCAGGAAACAGAGATCTGATCCCTGACCTAGGAAGATCCCACATGCCACGGAGCACCTAAGCCCATGCCACAGCCACTGATGCCTGCACACCATACAGTCTGTGCTCCACAACAAGAGAAGCCACCGCAATGAGATGTCCAGGCAATAAATAAAGACAATTAAAAAAATATTTTAAAGATCATATTTCTATACACTAGCAATGAACATGTGGACACCTAATTTTTAAAAAATTCTATTAATAATGACTCAAAAAGACTGAAATACTTAGATGCCAATTGAAAAAATATATATACAGGAACTGCATGCTGATATCTACAAAACACTGATGAAACATCAAAGAGGCCTAAATAAATGAATGGAGAGACATACCATGTTCCTAAGTTGAAAGAGTCTATATAGGAAAGATGTGAAATTCTCCATGTATAGGTTTAGTGTTAACTTCTATCAAAATCCCAGCATGATTTATTGGTATATATAGATAAAATTCTTCTAAAATTATTTAGAAAAATAAAGGAACTAGAATAGTTTTTAAAAATTGGAAAAAAATAAGGTAGGAAAAAAATCTGCCCCGTTTCAAGACTTACCAAGTTGTTAAAACTGCATGGTTTTAGGTTCATGGAATAGAATAGAAAACCAGAAGACACACACAGATATGCCCAATGATATTTGACAGAGGTGCAAAGCAAATCAATGGAGGAAAGACAGTCTCTTCTATAAATGGACTGCTATAACTGGATAATCATAGACAAAAATATGAACCCCAACCTAATGCTCACACCTTTTATAAAAATTAACTCACAATGAATCATGGACTTACATGTAGAATATAGGACCATAAAAATTTTAGGAAAAAAAAAAAAGAAAACCCTTGATACCGGAGGTCAGACTTGACACCACAAGCACAATTAATAAAAGGAAAACTGGTAAAGTGAACTTTATTAAAATTAAAAATGTCTGGAATTTCCCTAGTGGTCCAGTGGTTAAGAATCTGCCTGCCAATGTGGGGGACATGGGTTCGATGCCTGGTCTGGGAAGATCCTACATGCTGAAGAGCAACTACGCCCATGTACTACAACTCCTGAAGCCCCCACACCTAGACCCATGCTCCACAGCAAGGGACGCCACTGCAGGGAGAAGCCTGTGCCCCCACCACTAGAGAACAGCCCCTGCTCAACACAACTAGAGAAAGCAAATCTAGAGGCAAAAAGTACATTTGTGGTTGCTTAGGTCTGGGAGAGAGCTTCTGTGGAGCCTCAGCGGTAAAGAATCCCCCGGCCAATGCAAGGGACATAAGAGACGCAAGTTCAATCCCTGGGTTGGGAAGATGCCCTAGAGAAGGAAATGGCAATCCACTCCAGCATTCCTGCCTGAGAAATCCCATAGGCAGAGGAGACTGGCGGGCTACAGTCCATGGGGTTGCAAAGAGTTAGACATGACTGAGCAGCCAAACAACACCTACAAAGGGCTGGGAGGATGGGGGCAAATGAGGAGTTAAACTAATGAGTCTTTGGTTTCTTTTTGTGTGATGAAGATGTTCTGAAATTGATTACAGTGATGGTTGCACAATTCTGTGAATATGTTAAAAAGAAAAACACTGGATGGTACAGTTGTAAGTGTGAATTTGATGGCATGTGAATTATATCTCAAAGACGTGTTTTAAAAAGTATGCTTTTCTACTATCCCAGATGAATGAAGAAAGCCACCGCCCTTTCTGTGGACTCTTTTGCTACAGTCTCTGCCATGAAGAAAACAGGGAGAAAAGAACCACAGAGAACAGTTATGCAATAAGAGAACAAACTCTACCATGGATGGTTTTCTCGTGTCAGGAAGGCTAATGCTCCACTTTTTTAATTTAAAAAACTAAACTATATTCCTCATTTTGACCATGCTTGTAACTCATCCTGTTATTTCTTACAGTCAAATTTTCTGGGTTATTTTGTTACCAATCAATTAAAAAAAAAAGATTGATTTGGATAATTAAAATTTCTATATATTTCATTTTTTTAAGGATCAGCTAAATATCTAAACTTCAGTCAAATGGGGGTAATGGAATGATAACAAAATACCCGAGAGTCCAAACTGTTGTTGGAAGATATAAAGATAAGAGACACTGATAATGCAAAGACCAAATTACTAAAATCAGTTCTCAAAAACAAACAGCACAGATGATTTAAAACAATTTTAATGAGTTTGTTTTAAGGAAATGATAGAATTTTCTCCTTTTGAACTTTTGGACCATAAAGTTATGGTAAAAGATGAGCAAACCCATTACTGAACCTTTTTAAGCATGGTAATCATTACCTACAAAAAAAGGGAGGGGGGAATAATAATATTTTAAAAAATTCCCAAAACATAGGTATTTATAATCTCCACAGTGTTTAGTGACACTTTTTTACATTACTATCTTATGATAATAGTAGATATTCTTCATAAGGCAAAATTATAGGGCAGAAATCAAATCAGTGATCGCCAGAGGCTAGGGCTATGGTAGGAGGACTGACTATAAAATGGTCTAAGAAAATATTTACAATAATGAAAATAATGAATATCTTAATTGTGAGAGTGGAAATACGACTACCCACATTTGCCTAAAATTCACAGAACTGTACACTAAAAAGAGTGAACTTTACCAAATATAAATTATACCTCAATAAACCTAACTTTAAAAAAAAGGTACAATAGAAGGTACTACATCACTGTCACTAAACAGAATTGAGGTTATATTAGAATACAATGCTATTTTCAATGAAACACAAAGACCAGAAAAAAAAAAATGTATTCCTTTTTTCCTGGTATTAAAAAGCTAAACTCTTTGAAACATAAAACTCATTTCATCACTATCCACTATCAGTAAGATGATGAAAATAGTCCTGAGAAATACTAGGATAACTACATCAAAGCTTCAGCTTCTTGCATATTTATATTATGCAACATTATAAGTACTGTCAATTAATTATATGGCGGTACTTTGCCATTTTTTTATGTATTTGCTGTAGGTGACCTTATTTGTC